GCTGATTCTATGTCTGGCTGTGGGGCCCCTATATTCCACAATCTTTAAAAGAAAGCTATCTAATGGATAAATTCAGCTACCATACTTACTGTATTTGTCTCACAGAAATATTCCAACTGAAATATATTTATGCCTGAAACACAGGTAGTGATCATCAAGAAATGTTGGTTTGTTTTATTAGGCAATTTTAGCATGCAACACCACTAGGATAGCTTCTTTGAACCTAGACAAGGTGAGGCAGTAATTTCACCCTTTAATTTCTCAGGCTGCATTCTGCAGAGCACTGGGTAGTCCACGGAAAACCTGCTTATTCAGGATAAGTAAATGTTTAAAAGGTTTTTCCTGGGTTGGGGTCTCAATTAATAACATTTTACATTATTGTCTTAGTATTAAGATTCTGCAGCAGAGGACTACCTGCATTTTTACCAAGTCCCTTTTTCCAAGGATGCTTCATTTCCAGGAGAAAAAAATGCTTAAATTGTGGTTTATGCCAAAAAATGTGAGTGTAAAAAAGGCATCTTATTTCACTTTAATTATATCTATAATACAACTCAGTCAAGTGACAGTTATTGAGGATAATATATGAGCCAGAAAGAATATCGGTTGACTTTCTGATCCCAAGTTGAGACCACAAGCCTAACAGGTTTAGGGAAAAAAATCTATTTCTTTTTCACTTGTAAACCTTTATGCAAATCTGCTCTGGAAGCCATTGAGAAATAATCAGCTTGTAACCTCCTGAGGCCTTCTTTATACTGATAATTAGTTTAAAGAGTATAACTCTAATTGACTCATCATACTAGCCCATCTCTTCCTTATTTGATTTAGCCTTGACCTTTGTATTAGGAAATCCATAGTTTCATTGGTTTGCATTTGAAAATCAAGGGCCATATCACAAAAACACAGTGGAAACTTGTTTCTGAGAATAAAGGACACTAGGAAAAATCCATACCTCTCATTAGGATACCTTTCACCTAATACCTAAATATGTTCATTTCTTAAAACACTGATATTCTCAAGTTTGTATTTGTTTAATTGGTTATCACACAAATGACCTGTTGGTCACAGATCAAATAATTCAATCAGCAGAGTCAAAAAAATTGTCCTTGGGCTAAATCTTCTGCTAGTAGATACTGGTTTAGATCCACTTATTTAGTGCAGATGGTCTTGTGTATATTAGGACTTCGCAGCAGAACTACATGCTCAAGAGGGCCACAGCCTACTAAATGTAAGATATATTAGAACGGATTCAGATCTTCCTATTTCAAAATCATTTGCATTTACATCAGCTGAAAGTTAGTTCATACATTCTTAATGACACAATTATGGCAGATGGCAAGAGGCCACCTTTAGTTATTTATTAGGTTGCCTGCTGTGACTTTATCATTACCATTCAGAGGGCTTAAGGGTTAGCTTTGCTGGGCCACAGATTTAAGTCTGCTGCAGTGGGCAAGTATTCAGGACCAGGAAGACCCAGTCCACTTTGGCAGGGCCTTGTCAATCACTTTTCGATAAACTTGTATTGCTGCCAATGCACAAAGAAATGCACCAAGTACAATGAAAGCCCAGGAAGAATTCAAAACTGCACACAGTTATCACCATTTTATCCATGTTTTTTGGCAACTCGGCCAAATTTCCAATAATTACACTAACAAAAGAAGCACAGATCTATAACATTCTTGGCAGGCTACTTTTCTACTCCTCCCTTCAGAATTTGTGACTAGTTTAGGATGACATGTTAACAGTAACGTAGAGCACCAAGTATAACTTAATTTTAATGGTACATTTAACTAATTAAATGAGAGCAGAACTCTTGTGGAAGTACATACGAAATCCACCTAGGTAGCAGATGAATTCATGATGGTCACTGGTACTGCCAGCAATACCAAATTAATTCATGGCCATGTGGACCTTGACATGAAATGTAACTTAGGACTGGTACAGTTTTGTTAAGGGTCTCCAATGAATGAAGACAAATGCATCTAAAATATGCATTTAAGTTGGTTTCTCAGCTAATATTTTAAACTGATTGGCTGTTTAGCTTTAGAGTTCAGACATCTCATTTCTCCTCATAGCACCTCTTCTTGGGCATTCCCTATATAACCACTAGCCTTTGCATGCATTTTTGACTGCTATCATCATGTTTATTTTAAAACTGGATTAATGAGGTGCTTGTTGATGTATTATCGAAGCAGGACGCTGTGTTCAGTATATCAACTTGCATTGAATCTGACGTGTACTATTCCTTCAAATGCTTCTACTGTCATAGGCATCATATATCTTGGGGATTTTTTTTTCTAAATATTGATTAAAATTTTTTTTCTTGACTAATTAGAATAGAATCTTACATTGCAAACTGAGTTTCCGCATAGAAATGGGAAAATGTAACACAGCAGAAAATTAATCATAGTTGGAGTTTCATTGTGTGGGATGTTACCAAAATTTGCTTGAAGCAAACATCTGTTATACACAACCGAGGGTACTTGGAAGGAAAGTAATCATTTGCATGAAGAAATGCTATCCTCAGAAAAAGGTTTATGGCAGTAACATAATGATGGGTGGGCAAGTAGGGCATGCACCCTGGCCTCTGCCAAAGAGTGGAAGGGGGCACCAGAATGGAGCTGAATGAGGTACCTCAGTCTTTTATCCCCTGTTCCTTTCCCCTGCCCACACCCTGCACCTGCCCTACAGCTTCTCTGACTCCAGCTCCAGTTCCAGTAGCAAGGAGGGCAGAGCACCAGTGGTGGTGTGTGGTGTGGGACCAATGTCTGGAGGCTCACTGAGGAGATGTCACCTCCTCATTTTTGCTACTGAAACTTGGTGTTTAAATGTCCATTTAATATATGCATCAGCAGCAAAAAAATGAAGGGCCATCCTTCTTCCAGCCACTACTTCAGCACTGTGTACCACCACTGCCCAGGGTGCAGTACTGGCTAGTTATGCCTCTGTTTATGGACCTGGAATACCCTGTGCAGGCAATTTTCTTTGTTGGTTTTTTGGTTAGGTTCTGTTTTCTTTTTTTCTCTTTCTTTTTTTTCCCACTAGGCAAAAATATTGGCTTGTAATGATTACTCCAGTAATTTATCTGAGTGATGCTCTGAATCTTGGAATTGGAACCCTGTTATTGGTTTATGCCACTCTGGGCCTGAATGATCTGCTTATGACCTAAATACGCTTCTTCTGTGCCTAACCAAATGGTGCAGGGAATGTATATAATATGTAGTGTGGGGGGAAGATCATTTAGAAAGGTCTGCGTGCATGAAGCATGAGGCATGCACTTCCAGCCTTTGAAAGTAGTTTGCAGGAATGTCACAAACGCAGCATCACTCCCACCCTAAATGTTATTCCTCTTCTTTTGTCTTCTTCAGCAAAGTCTCTAATGAGCTGAAGCATCTTCTTACCTATTTGCCAGTCCCATGGGACTTTCAGCAGCTCCTTGTGTTCCATTATTGCACTGGAAAACAAAAGAAGGCAAAGTTGTAAGGCAAGGAACAAAAAGTAAATTACTTTCACTCATTCAGTTTGAATGCTGACAACATAGATAGATCCACACACCCTACAAATCTATACAGACCAAATGCCGTCAGACCTACTTAATCCACCCTGACTTCTTCCATGTGTGTTTCTGAAAGATCTTCAGGGTGATCATCAGATTTGATGGCATGCAATTTGCACTGTTTTATCTCCAAGCTTCTGACCATCTACCAGTCTGTCTTCTGACTTAATAGTCTTAAAGTTCTTAAACTTCAATGAGTAATAATGTATCTGTTTGAGATGTACAAATCTTCAAAGCTCCTCACTGTACGGAATTAATACAATGCTAAGCAAATCAAAGACAAAAGGGGGAAATTTCATAGGCTGATTTTAGGGACAACCAACCAGCCAACACCATGGTTTGTTACATAAAACAGGGCAATAATCACAGCAAAAATATTAATAAATAAAGCCCAGATACAGTAGATTGAGGTAGTCCAGTTTCGGGTTCTGTTTCAGTATCTGGTGAACCTTAACATACCCATTAATATCAAATTATTAATGCCAGAAAACTCCAGAGGTGGAACACAGGTATCAAGATAGATCCTCATGCTCTCAGGATAGTGTCTTGGGGATGTGGGCTCTTTGTTGCTCCCCATTCAGCCGATCACCTGTTCAATCTGGGACTTTGGGGATGAAATCTCACGGGACTTTTAAAGTAAAGACCTACCTTTCCTGTGCTTTATAGAGAGTCCAATGAACTCACACCCCAACTGCCACTCCCAAAATGCCAAACACAGAGCTAAATGGAGGCACTGTGATTGAAACAAAGTTTTAATGACAAAATATTTTGTGCTCTTTTCTTTTTAGCATTTGTGTACACATATATTAAAAAAATATATAGACAAGCCAAATTCCCCTTCTTTTAAAGCATCATTGTAAAGGTGCCAGTAAGGAGAAGGCTGTGGCTCTGCAGAATAATTTGGGAGGGTGTTTGATACATAGAGGGAAGCATGGAATAAGGCAAGATAACCTGTCAAAATCAGAGAGGGAGTTGACTGGCAAGAAATAGAGGGATGGGCATAATATATATCAACTACATGGCAGAGGCGAGGAGCAAGCATCCTGATGGAGTGTTGCTGTGCAGGCTGCAGTAGATTCCCATGTACTACTTCTTCATTGCCTTTTCCTGGTCTGGAAGGAAAGTCCTTAAATTTAATTTTATTTAAAATTTTGCTCACCAGAATATTCTCATAGAATGCAGCAGCTTGTTTTCAAAAGACTCCCGGGGGGAATTGCAGGTAAACAGACACGTCTCATGCATGCAAAGGCACGTATAATTCAGCTCTTTCGCAAACAAAATAATCTCATCATTTTATACGTTGTATTAGATTCTCCATACCTCAATAGAAAGCAAATTGGAATTTCCTCTTCCTCCCCAGGATACAACTCTGTAGACAAGATTTAGCTAGAAGGCAATGAGATCCTGCAGTCTTACTATCAGAATGAGTCCCTCAGACACTAGGTTTTGTAATAGATACTTTATTTTTTAATCCCTGTATTACCAAAGTTTATATTTCTTCAAGATGCTGTCCATACTAGTGTCCATTTAATTGCTATTCCCATCCTAGCACTGTCACATCATGGACACCAAAAAAATTTGTGATTAGGGGCTGCTGTTGCTGTGCTGGGAATGGTCTGACTTCTGATCTAGATTCTTCCCCAGTGTCTTTCATCAGATTTAGATCTTGATTGCATTGAAATGGGCAACAATCAATCATCTGCAGTTTTTTCAGAGAAAGCTGCTACAAATATAAAGTGAACTGTATTTCCCTTTGAAACAAATGCAGCTCCAGGTTGGGTTAGACCTCAATGAACTTTGTGCCCGTAACAGCTGCCTTTCATGAGGAATAAAGGTAAGAAACAATTATGTTCCTTTATATAACCAGAGAGCCAAAACATTAGCAGCCTCCCTCAAACCACAAGCACATGTCATGAACCCAAACCAAAGAACATGCATGGCACAGATGGTAGAGGGGTTTTGTTGGTAAAATGTGTATATCCAAGAAAGAAAAGCATAAAAAGGAAGGAAGTATATAGCCACAGAAACACTGGTAGCATGGCCCTTTTTAGCAGCTACTTCACCATTGCTGTGCGCTATACCAGGGGAGCGCATCACTATGACAAAGTACCTGATCATCACATGTAGACGCTCATGGATGCTATGTGTTATGCATAAATGTGCTCTTTGATTCACTGCTTGCATCAAAAAGGGGTAATGGTATTATAATAGAATATATTAGCACTAGATTTCTACATGGCAGTTTCCATATTGTCATGTATTTATATGCATTAAGAAAGACAAAGTCTTTGCTTTCAATGTCTTGTGTGTCTGCCAACCACAGATAGTTCAGATATAAAAATTGGGTTCTCATGGAAATAAGATATTTTAGGAACTTTCATTTTACAAACTTAAAAAAAAGGACTAGTTGGGTGCGTCTACATGTGCCATTTACCGCAGTTGGCTAATTAGATCTGCAGTAAAACATCACCGTCTACATGTGTAGTGCTGTTAGGACGGAGTAAACTAATTAACTCCACCGTAATATAATACTGCCAGACACAAGTACTATCCTACAGTGCAGTTTACTCTACCGCAACACATGTGTAGACACCCACAGGACTGGCTGAGGCATGAGGGTGCTTCAGTGCAGGGGCTGCTTGCCGGCTCGCCCCACACTGAAGCACCCTTGTGCTCCAGCCGGCCCCTCTGCTGCATACTGAGGTGGGTCAGAGCAGCCCCAGGCTGGCAGGCTGATCCCTGCAGTTTCCTGAAAGCTGGGGCTGCTCTGCCCTAGCTCAACGTGCTGCTGTCCCAGGCGTATGTGTAAACACTGTGCCCAGGAGCAATAAACCCAAGTGTGAACTGTGCCAGAGTTTATTCAACTGCATTAATTTTATGTGTAGACGTGCCCCTTTGTAGATATAATTTAAAGCACTGTGGGCCAACCTTTTTGCAGGTATGCCACAAGTTAGTCCCAAACCCTTCCTTAGTGTGACTTCGATCCCCTTCCCCTGCCTGATTTCTGCTCTGTTTTCTACTCCCTACCCTCTGCTCCTGGCCCAATCTGTTGCTCTTCTTTCTTCTTCTTGACCCAGTCTCCCTGCCTGATTTGCTGCTCTGCTTTCTGCTCCCTGCTCCATCTGCTACTGTGCTGGCTGTCCCCACCCCAAACTGCCATGTGCCACACACAGGGGCTGCCCATGTCATTTGGGGGACAAGCTGCAGGTTGGCCAACCCTGATTTAAAAGATTTAAAATATATGTCAAAATAGTGGGTGGAAAAAAAACCAACTTGATTATTAAATAAATTGGGTTGGTTAAGCAGAACTTTGCAGGGACTTATTTTGATCATATCCTATTTTCAACCGGACAGATTAGTGATCTGGTTTTGATTAATAATCAAAAGCTCCTTTAGGTACCAGCCACTGCTGATAATCAGACCTGCATAAAATCTAGCAATATCATCATCTGAGGTTTTGTGACTGCATAATTCATTATCAGCTCAATCTTTAAAAGCTGGATCCTACTTTCCTCCTACAAAGCCTGCATGTCTGCACTGAAAATACCCATTTGTGCCTGCACAAGGATTTTATGGGTCAAATGGTTATGCCCAAAACTCGGGGGCCAATCTTAGAGCATTTGATCTTAGATGTATTATCACTGCAAAGTACCTGGTTTTGTGTTTTTTTTCTGCATAGCTAAGCATCATCATTTTAGTTACAAGGAGTAAACCAATTAATAAAACATCTTCTGGCAGGGTCAGTTTTTCTACCTGTTTATCATTCTGGATGACTTTTAAAAAACATAAACCACGATTAAGAATAGGTATGGGCTCTGAATCCTAATTTAGCTTGAGAAGTGGAATCACCATGTCTTGAAACAACAAATAGGTGGACACTCCTTTTTCCAGCTCTCCATCTCTAAGGGCACTTTTAGGACACCAATGACACCTGTCAATCAAATGTACAGGATTACTGAAATTTAATGACCTGGCCTGACATACTAAAATTGATCAAGAGATATAAACAGAGATTAAAGGGAGTCAACTCTCATAAAGAAATGGCACCTTTGAAGAAAGAGGCTCTGGTGTCAACAGGAAACACACTTTGAATTAGTTTTAATAGCCTTAGATTTCAAACCGACTCACTTACAGCTGAATTCCACTGAAAAAGGATCCGAAGAGTCCAATCATGCCCAAGAATTCCACTCGACTCAGGTTTCGGACAATGTACTCCTCACAAACATTGGAGATGCCATAAAGTGTTGCTCCACCAAGCACTAAGAGATCCCCTATCAGCTTATTTTCACCTAGGAATAAAAGGAAACACAGTAAATATCTACTTAAGGATACATTGTTGCATGGTCTTTCCTACAGATTCACAACCTAGCTAAACTGTGTTAACCCACTTCTTTGTAAACAAGATGGATGCAATATACTGTACATAATTCACAACTTGCATTCAAAATGTAAAGCAGTCTCACAGAGACTGAAGGAGAGATTTAGTTGTTTTTGGAGGAGAGAATCTGGAAGAGAATGTGAATTGTAAAGTCTAGAAACACACTGGGCACATCTATGCATGCAATTAATGCAAAGCAATAAACTCTACTGCATATTGCCCCAGAGTTTATTGCTCCTGGGTGCTATACTTACATGTGTGCCTGGGACTGCAACACGCTGAACTGGGGTGGAACAGTCACAGCTAGCAGGGAACCTAGGGGGTCAGCCTGCTAGCCTGTGGCTGCTCCAACCCAGCTCAACATGCTGTGGAGGGCTGCTCTTACACTGAAGCACCCTCGTGCCCCAGCCAGCCTTGTCAGAGTCTACATGTGGTGCTCTGCACTAAAGAACTCCACTGTAGGATAGCACTTGTATTTACAAATACTAACCTATGGCAGAATTAATTAGTTTACTGTGGCCTAATGAGGCCGCACCTGTAGACACTGAGACTACTGTGGTGCTAAACGTCTCATGCAGACGCGCCCACTAAGTAGCATATTTCAGTGACCATTTTTTTTATTTGGTGTGGCATAGAGTGTTAATGAGGATGATTTTTAGGCTGTATATAACCACAGCAGTGCTGCCTAATGCACTAGATGCAAAGGGTCAGCCTAACGTGCCTTATTACCAGGGAACTGGTTTTCTCTGATAACCCCCCTCCCCAATTTTCAGATTAAAAAAAGTAACCCAAAATCCACATTTCTCCGTGAACAAAATGAAACACCACTAATATATATATATATTCCAGATTCTTTCCTCCAAAAACAACTAAACACCACTGGTATGTAGGTATGTATGTGTGTATATTAGTGGTGTTTCATTTTGATTATAGAAAAATGTGGATTTTGGGTTACTTTTTTTAATCTGAAAATTGGGGATTTTTTTTTATCAGAGAAAACCACTATCCTTGCTTATCACTGAATATACTGCCATTTTCAAAAACTGAACTCTCCTTAAACCTTCCAGGTTTATATTATTATTTTTGGAAAAAGAGCTGGCAGATAGGTTTATTCAAGTTCCAACCTGAAAATGCAAGGTCCCAATCCAGTAAAGGGCTACACTCATGACTAGTTTTAATTATGTCCTAATCACAACAGATTCAACAGAACTGCTGATAGAGTTTTTAGAGAAATTTCAACACAACCATATGGATTCGCTCCTCCAAAAACAAATCTCTCCCTCAGTCTCTGTGAGGTTGATTTCAATTTTGAATGCAACTTGTGAATTACAGTATATTTGCACCCATTTTGTTTACAAAGATGGGCAGTTTTGCTGGAATTTCATCTCAAAAGTTTCTATGATGCTGAAGTGGTTCAACTGTCCTAAACACAAAGGCTAAGTACAGATGTTCAAAAAGCCCCTGGTGGAGGCACTCTAACTAGGAGCACTTTACTTAAGGTGCTGTAAGTTAGTGTGGGAGCAAACCCAACAGACATTCACTGTTCAGTGCGGGGGCGCTTGGAGCCTGCCCACTCTGGCAAGCAGCTGGAGAGTGCTCCTGCACACCTCCCAGGAGGCTGCCAGAGGGGCCCCCTTCCCAAGCCACATCAGCAGACTATCAGCAGACTGGAGGGAGGAAGGAGAGAATAGATGAGGGGAAGATGGAGCTCCTGTGCTGTACGCTTCCTCCCTCCCCCTAAATTTTTGCCTATACCTGAGGTCCAGTTATCTCTCAGTTGATCTCAGTCACCTAGTATTTATCTCAGCTAGGACATGACACGCCATGCCCCTTTGCAAAGCAATACTGAAGAGTTATTATTGACCTTAGAACTTGGTTTTAGAGAATGGCTTGTCAAAGACATTTGCGTGTGCATCAAAATCTGGGCTCTTGAACCAAGAAGATTTCTTGTCAGGCTGTTGTCACAATGACTGTGTCATTCAAAGTGATATACTGAAGTAATTTAACCCATATATTATGAATTTGAACCCTAACCTTATATGTTTTCAAAGAATGGGCTTCATGCATATTTTACAGAGGCCTCCTTTGGGAAATTTGGCTCTGAGACCAAACGTCTGGCTTTAAGGCTGCTATTTGAATATTTTAAGTCCACTTGCATACTTTGATTTACATTTGAAGTCCTGTTGAGGAAAACTGGACTGATTAAATAGAAGGAAGATGAAGACAACTAGAAGGATGTAATCATGTCTCTTGACTAATGCAACTCAACGCTAATTAAAAGCTTATTTGGTCAAGGGGTTTCTCATATGCAACTCTTCTGCCCCTAAACTGCTCATAATCCATTCAGATATATATAAAATTACTTTGGTGCAGCTCTAAAGACTGGAGTAGTGAAGTGGAATGTAGGGGATGTTGGAGATGTACATAGGGTTGTAATGTGCCAACATCCAGCTGGGGCTGATCCAGTCCCAGTATCACTGCGGGTTGTGGGTAGCCAGGGCTAGGACTACTCAAGGAACTGAGGTGCCAATGAGTCAGGAAGAACAAGCAGATTCCAGGGACAAACTGGATCAGGAAGCCAGGATGTCAATCCAGGAACAGAGTTTAGGAACAGACCCAATTAGGAAGCTGGGGGGTATAGTGACTATGTGGGCGGTTTTTAGTTGATCAAGCAGCTCTGGGGTAAGAGGTAAGTGATAGTGTTTGCAGATGATGACCTGGTTCAGGGCCTGATAGACTATACAGAGGTGGAAGCTCCCATTCTTCTTCTTGAATAGGATAGGGGATTCTACAGATGAGGTGGACTTTCTTATGAATTCTTAGGCCAGGTTTTCCTGCAGATATTTGCAGAGGACAGCAATTTCAGGATCTGGCATAGCATAGATACATCCTACTGGGATCCTTGCTCTCAGCTGTAGGTCGATGGAGCAGTCATAATCCTGGTGTGTGTGGGGGGTGGAATTCTGCATTCTTCTTCTCAAATACATTGATGTATTTCTGCTATTTGTGAGGCATCAGCAGTGCTGCTGACAATACCTGGGATCAAAGCAAACCTCAAAGGCTTTCCATTTGAAGGGGAGCATGACAGAATCAAGGGGTAATGCAGGGAACAGACTGCCCCGAAGCATAGCACCTCAGGATGTCTGAGGACGTTCGTCTCCAGAGCAGCGTTCTCCCACTCTAAGGTACCAGATGCCAGAGGTGAGGCACCTCCAGTTTTGATGGTCTCTGGCTTGGATCATTGCCTTAATGGGATTCCTATGGCCTGGGTGAAGGTCTCATCAATAAAATGGTCTACTGCCCCAGAGTCCAGGGTTAGAACCAGAAGCAGGCTGATCTGACTCAGGACCTGGAGGTGGGTATTAACTGAAGGTTTTGAGTGTTGGACTTGCTGTAGACTTCTGTGGTTGAGTAGGTGAAGGGAGTTTGTGATGACCCCAAGCTGGGCCCCCCTTACTCGGCTTGGAGTAACTCATTTCCCTGCTCAACTTTCTAGGAGCATTTGGTAAATCTGTGTCCCTGGGCCCCACAATGGAGAGACACAGATCCTATTGGTGGCATTGCTCCCTTTCCTCTGGTGTAAGGTGACAGAACCCCCAAGTCTGCATAGGCTTAGAAGCGACTGCACCAAGATGTGGGCTAGGAGGGGATAAGGAGTACCTCTTCCTCCCTCCGCTCCTAGAGTCATTGATAAATGCCCATTGCCAGGTCCATGAAGGTGTCAAACCCTGAGGTCAGTTCCACCTGCGTAAGTTTGTCCTGTACTTCTTCCCTTAGCCTCCACCAAAATTGGTAAAGCTGGGCTGTTCTGTTCCAGGGGGTGTCCACCATTTAGAGGCAGAAAAGGGAAGCATAGATGATGACACCACCCTTGCTTTGGTGAAAGTTCCTTAATATGGCCTCTGCTGTCTGGATCCAGTGGAGGACATTGAACATACTGAGGAATTTATGGAGAAATGTCTCCTGGTCCTGAAAGACAGGGCTATCTTGCTCCACTAGTGGTGCAGCCCAATTGAAGGTATCCCAGAAGGCTGATGCCGAGTCTTGCTTTTGTCTGATCCCTGAAGCAGGTTCGAGGTTGGGCTAACAATAAAAGGCAACATTGGGTAAGGAACCCCCTGAAGCATTACCATACCTTTCAGGCAGTGGGAAGGGTGAGTGGGGCTCTGTGGAATGAGCCTGGAGCACAGTTACCTTGCTCTTCGCACTAGTGCCGGTATGCCATTCTTCTGGTATTTTTTAGTTAGGGCATATACTGTTAACTGGATAAATAATAATATCTACTAACATGATAAATAATAATATCTTCATGGCAGAACTTGTTATAGTGATATCAGGTAAATCCTGTAAGTGCATAAGTTAACTCCTCTGGAATGTAAGCAAGTTTTACATAGGAAAAAAGGGGCTTATTGAAAATAAATTAAACTCCACTAGGTTTTTGTTCATCCCTTTTGCTTGCTTGGTCCAGGAAAATATCCAATAAACAGTGCCAGGCTCCTTATGGAAGAGCTTCCTAAAGCCTTTTATTTTACAGTCAATGTTTATTATTTGTTTATTTAGACTTTTAGTGCCTATCTTGACACCTTAACATAAATTGTTTCAGCTCATCTATTTTACTCCCTTAGGGGAAACATGTAACACAAAAATATATCCTTGCTTCTTAATAAAGTCATTTTACAATGTTAAAGGTGCTGGAACACTTGTCATGAAAGGCAGTTGTCTGAGGGTCTTCTCCCTATGTACCGACAAGCACAGTCAGTCTTTTAGGGCCAGGTTTACATTTGAACAGGCAATAATGCATGCATATAGAACATTCTGAATAAAACTACTTGATATCTATATGTGCTCTTTAGCAGAGCATATGGCAAATAGTGTCTTCTTCTTCAACACAATCTTCAGAGTCTCAGGCTGAAGAGTTACTCTAGTAATTGATGCATTATATCTAGCTTTTTCATTTTGCTTAACATGACATGTAAAATCCTGTGAACAAAGTAGATTGCTAGGGAGACAGAACACATAATGGATTTCATGCAAACCCAGTTTCAGTTTCAAAGTTTTTTCCAATTTCCTAATTCAACTGGCTTTGAATAACCTGAACAGACATCTCCGTAGTTGCACATCTGTTAATGAATGTACAACAGACGGGTTACTTAACAGATCTACTGCTACTGAATTCCTTTTAAAGGAACTTGGAACTCCACTGGGCAGACTCCTTGTGTAAGCTGCGTACTTACAGACAGCTTTCTGGCCTCTGAACCACTGTATGTTCCCTTTAACCTGGTCCTGAAAGCTTCCAATGAACCACTTCCTAAAAAGCAGATGATTCGGTAGCCAGGGAGAAAGGATGCTTCCTTTGGAGCTTGAAATCATTTGATTTCAGTTGGGTCTGAATTTAAATTAGCTCAGCTCTGACTTGCTGATACATAGGACCAAACAGGCCTGCTTCTTTTTTGCTGGGACAGAAGTGCTTTTGGAGAGGGAGATGGTTTGGAAGTCTTTGGGACAGGGCAATATTGACTGGTTTAGTATCTGTCAGACTGCCTTGTTTTTGTTCACCAGCATCAAGGCAAATGCTGTTTTTATAGCAGTTGATTTGTATTCCAAAAGCTGACTCGAGTATTTTAAATCTCAGTGTATTATGCTCCGCTCACAATTTGGTACTTTTAATTAAGATTGAAAACTGTATCTAATTGACAGTCTTTGCAAAGAATTTATGCCCTTCCTATATCATTTTTGTTGGCATTAGAACTACCAATGTGATAGAAGATATTGATTGATGAAATCTAACTTTGCTTATTCTGCCCATTAGTGTGCTGTAATAGTAACTAAACATACACTATTGGAACAATGCCACAAAGTGCCACAAGAACATTTTACATAGTAGGAGGATCTTGCCAGGTACAGTGCAGACAAATCCAAATTTAACCTTTACTTTGGGATGTGGTGAATCATACAGTATGCATAGTAATTTATCTAAGTATCTAACCAGTGATGGTGGGTATTTGCTTGAAGTGAGCAAAAGGGTAGGAAGCAAAACTGGGAAAAAGAGGAATGAGAGAATAGAGTGGATGGAGGGCCCAGGCCACAGAAAGCGGTATGGCTTGAAAATGCAGCTAGTAAGGTAGGCATGGGGGCTGCTGATGCTTCTAGTAGTCCATCTCATCCACCTGAGGGGACTAACATTCATTAGCAAGGGCCATGTTCTTCCTTGAATGAATAAATTTGGGGCAGTGAATTTGGTTGGACACAGGAGAACACAACATTTTAAACTCCAGGTGGGTTCTTGGGACCTTTCCTTCTTTTTGGCCCATTACTGCCCTCTCACATTGCTTGATACAATGTTTTTCTTGAATGAGAAGTCCATATCCACTCACCTGCTCCTTGCTGTCTTCCAACAAGGACATCTGCTCCTGCCATGCAGCCCATGCCCAGAATGCAGACCACAATCCCGATGAAATGCACTGCCTTATATCGTACCAGCAGGAAGAACCAGGACAGTAATATCACCACTGGGATGACAAAGCAATCTAGGAGCTGTCAAAGAGGAGAAATAAAGTCAACAAAACGCTGCCACAAAAGTTACTTTAGAATGCAAAGAGTTACTCAAGACAAAAGGAGCAGAATGGAGGCCTATTTATTGATGGCTATACTTGGTAGTAGATCCAGAAGTAGAGTGAGGGGTGTGTGGTCACACTCTCCTTTAGCTGTGCTGTGCATGTGTAATGAGCTGGGAGCTCATTGCTCAATGTAGGCTCCTGCTGGAGCTCTTCATACACAGCAAATTCCGTGCGCTCACCACCTGATTGATGCAAGAGCACCCACAGCTCACTCCAGAGGAGTCACCACAACCACACCATCTACAAAGGCATAGCCTCCAAAATGGTTGCTTGGGAGAAGCCAACTGCAACTGGCATCGATGCTATGCCAAAGTCAAAGTGTTGAAGGAGTGGTATAAGAAGGCCATAACGACATGCTATAATGGTATAAGATAAGGAACATGCAGGATGATTTCTGCCTACTATGAAGAGTTACTGTAGATTGGGAGGGCGGGGAGCATTGCTTGATAGAGCCCTGCTCTGTTGCTGAGTTTGGTCAGTAATGCTGAAAGTGGCTATCAGGGTGTACCTAACAAGAATGCCCTGATGGTTGTGGTTCAAGGGCTCAGCCTCTTGTGCTTTGTACTGGCCTGCCAGCCACTGAGCACTCTCTGCCAAGTCCTTTGGAAAGGTTCCCCCTTTCACCTTGCAGATGTTATAGAGGATGCAGGCCAAGATAACTATTTGGGGTAGGTAGTACTCTGTGGTGTCCAGGCACACCCCCAGTTCCCTCCACTGGAACAGGTCAGCACTGGAGGTGCTTTTCATGGTCATGTGGTAGATGCTCAGCTAGTAGTTGAACAAGTCCCTCCTAGCATCCAAGTGCCCTGTGTAAGGCTTCGTGATTCAGGGGAAGAGTGGGTATGCTCGGTCCTCATATAGCTGAAGGAGGGAAATGGTTACCCTCTTCACTTTGATGTTAGTATCCCCATGGGCAAACTCCCCCCATGTCATTCCTACAGTTCCTAAAGACCCTGAAGTCATGGACCCTGCCTGCACAGCTGGTGGTCATAGTATAAACCTGCCTGGGTGGTCCACAGTGTTGGAGAAGAAACCCTTGCAGTTTATATACTCCATGCTTCAGTGGTCAGGGTACAGGATGGCAAGGTAGATGCCATTAGGGGGCCTGATGCTGCTTGGAAAATCTATGCCATCCTCCCTGGTGTCCTGCATGACATTGTCTTCAGGTATATTGGTATCAGTGGTGCAAAGTAAGTAGCACATGTCAAGGAGGCATCTTTCCAGGGCCTTGGTCAAACTGTCTTGAGCTGTCATGCTATTGCCCAGCAGCTGGAAGATGCTCTGGAAGAAGAGAAATAGCATGCCCATGCCTGTTTTGAGAAGGAAAGGAGGGATAGCACCTCCTGCTTAGTCATGGACTGCAAGGCAAGGAAATATTAGGCATCCTTTTGTGGTTCCCTGGGGTGACAGTGCCATTCCTATAACTGATGAGGCCTCTGGGAGCAAAACTGACCATGTCTGCTCTCCAGCCTCGAAGCTGATGGGAAACTTCAAGCCATTTTGAACTGTTTCAGATGGGAGGGGCCTATATGTCTTCAGCCTGATGCTGAAGCACTCCAAATTTGAAGCACTTCATATTGGTGTGGGATTTGAAGTGCTTCACTAAAACATCTGTCTACACCTGAGAAGTAGGATAGATTAGCTTGGGCAGAGTGCTGCGCTAACATGCCCATGTTGCTTTCAGTATCTCAGCGATACCTCAAGTATCTCTGTACGGTAATATATTGAGATATGTATATGTACTCATACAGTCTGACTTAAATGCCACTGAAGTCAATAGCAAAATTCAAATTGAAGTCAGTAGCTCAAGATCTGACTCATTAACCAGAGTAGTGCAGGAACAACAGCTATATACCACAAAGGTATGCAATGTTACTTAATAGTCCAGATTTTTTCCATGAATTAAGCTGATTTTATATCCATAATGAGAAGGCAGAATAAACAGCAATAGCTTAGTCTAACATAAAATGGCTATAAAAATAGACAGTGTGTGTGGCCAAGCAATTGTTCAGGTTTTGTTTTAATATTTATTTATCTGGGGCTAACCTCAACTCTCTGTCCCTTTTTTGGAATACACCTGTTTGGGACAAGAGAAAAAAGGGATATGCATCCTGATTTCTGCAGACAGAATATGCTGTGAAACTGTAGCTTGCCTATTGCTTTTTGTCTTTCAATTAACTGTATTGCAAAAGAAACGGAGCAAATTACGCTGATTATACTGAGCAGCCTCTATAATGGACCCCTATTTTTCAATATCAAGGTTTGTCATTAAATAATAAATGCACTATGATTGATTTACACAGCAGAACAGTTGTTTATTCCAGTCATTAAAAAACAGATTGTCCTAACAATACAATCCTTGTTTCCCTGACTATAAAGCTTTTATGGTAATAAGGTATGTTTAGCTCATGTATCATTTATGATATTTAACATCTTGTTAGTAAATTAGGGTCAGTCATCATACAGCAATTTGACTGCTAGTATATTTCCCATTTGGTATAATCTTTTGCTTTTTGTCTACCTGTTCTTGAAGTGTATCTATATAATCAAAATTAATTCAAAGGGAAAAGTTACACCCTTACATGAAAATGGACACAAGTATCGTTATTTTCATGATGCTCTAATTACACACAATCATTTGTAACAAAGATGATGGTGATATCTCATAGGCACATATCCTGGTCTTTCTAATGTTTCTGCTTTTATCATGTATTTGCTTTATATTGTTATTTTAAAGGCATATATGATGGGAAAATAAACTGAAAATATTATTAAAAAGTCTGTCCATATAATTCTTTTAACTTAAATCAATGAGTCAAATCTAAAACCTATTGATCTGTTCTGATACGGCAATCTTTACCTTCTTATTTTAACATGCTAGGCAAAACTGCCTTAGTTGGTTGAAGACGCCTATTGATTATAATAGTTATCGCATTGTCTTGGAGCCTACGTTGATGACCTATATTGCTCACAGACAATCCAGTGATAGCACTTTCTAAATAATTACTTTACTTATTTTATTCCTTTTGTGAATTAAAATATATATCCTCTTGCTGACAATACATACATTCCCTCTGATCTATACAAGTGCAATGAGAATGCATGTACAATCCAGGAATATACTCTGAACTATATACAGCAAAGAGGACCTGAACAATCTTCAGAAATAAAGTCACTAGTGCACAGGAAGATTATTTATATGCCTCAATATCAAAAGGAAAATGCTGGTCAGCAAATTCCCAACAGAGTACAACACAGAAAAGCTGAACTGATTCTTCTTTTTTAAACATGCACTGAATTTTTTCCCCCCAATTGCAAAACCCTTCCTCAGGTTAGGGCTTCTCATTAGCACTGCCCTCAAGCAAATCGTGTGGTGAGAGCTTTCCCTCACAGCTGCCACCTGTCAGTAACTAGCCCTGAGGTACTGCAGCAGCAGTTGCTATAAGGACTAGGATTCAGTGTCAAGAGGGACTTCATTGCCCCCACCTCACCTCTTCTAATTAGAAATTCCCTTTTGGATGCCTCTAATGTGACAGATCTGGGAAATGCCAGTTCTCTGTGAAAATCTGAGTAGTCATCATGAACAGCACTTAGCAGATCAGCTGCACCTCCTGCTAAGCTTACTTTCATTTTGAAATCATAAGGAGAGAAAGTAATAAAACCCCACACTATCAAATTCATGCACCATTTTGCCTTGTTAAGAACATGCCTTTCCTACTACTGACTCAATAAATGAATTTGTAAGCATACTACACTAGCATCTTTTGCTGAACAATGAACCTCCTGACACTTATTTTGCGTTTTTCTCATACTTAAATTGAGAAATGGTTTTTACTGCTTTTCATAATTAGCCATACTCCAGCTACATAAAACCATACACGCTCAATTTACCTACCATATGTATTTGAATCCAAGACAAGGGTTTTTCCCCATTCAACATAGAACAAAAAGCTGCCCCACCACTTTACCTGCTCACTCTGCCCCCCACAATTTCTGCTCCCCCATTGCTTGCCAGCAGTCGCGGCTCCAGTCCTGTTCCAGCCTGGCGCATGGAGCACATGAAGCTCTGACCCTGGCCCAGCCATACAGTAGCTCTGACGTCCCACGGCTGGAGCTGTTGCCACTGCAACTGCTGGTGCATGGCTGGGCTGGGACCAGAGCTACACTGTGCTCCATGCCCCAGGCCAAAATGGGTCAATATTGATTATTTTTTGAAATATTTCAAAAGCATTTGAATTAAATTTTACCTTGTTGTGTTTCTAACTTTTGCATTTCATTTTTTTGTTGTGTTGAATACCTTTTATTTTAAATATTTTTAAGACTTACCTAATTTTAAATGTTATCCCTTTTTTGCATCCAAATAGTTATCCAAAATTCAGGAATAAATGGATAACAAGGAACCCTGTGGGTTGTTTTTATTAGGAGAAACTACTGATAGAGTCAATTAACAATGTAACCCCAGGTATTTACAAAGAATGTACAAAGGCCTATTTCCTTGACAGAAGAGAAACCAACACCAGAAAACAGTTTGCTTACAGTTGGAAACCTCTTTCAGCCAACACTTAACCCAAAAGCTCTCAGTTTTTTTTCTTTAGGCATGCTATTAGAGCTCCTGCGGTTGTGTGTTATGCTTTCTGACTTTCTTAGCTCTGAGCTTATCTGGCCTTCCTGTCTTTCTTTCACAGACCTGTAAACCTTCCTGAAACAGTGCCCAGGAACACCCCTGCTCCTAGATGTGCCACGCACAGCCCAGCATTTTCACTGGAGGCTTCTGCTTTTTGGTTCCATCAAAAATCTTAATGAATTTTTATCACTATCGTAAATGAAAGGTGGTACACCCAACCCACAGCAATGTGTTATATTGAGTATTCAATACATTCTTATAATATCTAATATTATAACAGCATTATATATTAT